CAAAGGGAAAGAAAGCATTAAAAATAACTATAACCACTTCAATTTGGTAACAAACTGACAATACAAAAAGAGATAATTTGTGACAACAAAAACATAGGGAAAAGGAAAAGGACAGAATCTGCACAGGCAAGAGAAGATAAGATGCTATCAGCAGAAAAGGAGTATCTCATTTAGTAGTTGTTTTATGCAAACCTCACAGTAATCACAAAACAAAATTTCAGAGCAGAGTCAAGAAACATAAAAAAAGAGGAAACTGAAAAACACATCACAGAAAACTACCAAACTAAAATGGTAGACAGAAACAATGGAAATATAGAGCAACCAGAAAACAAAAGATAAAATGGCAATATTAGGTCCTCATATATCAATAATCACTCTAAATGTAAATGGATTGAATTCACCAATCAAAAGACACAGATTGGCTGGATGGATAGAAAAACAAGACCCAACAATATGGTGCCTCCAGGAGACTCATCTCAGCTCTAAAGACCAACATGGGCTCAAGGCAAAGGATGGAACGTGATACTCCAAGTAAACGGCAACCAAAAGAAAGCAGGTGTAGCTATACTTATATCAGACAAAGATAGAGACAAAGGTGGACTTTATAATAATAATAAAGAGTACAATCCATCAAGAAGGGATAACATTTATTAATATATATACACCTAATATAGGAGAACCAAAGTATATAAAGCAACTATTAACAGACCTAAAGGGAGAAATTAACAGCAACACAATAATAGTAGGGGACTTTAATACCCCACTGACATCAAAGGATAGATCATCTATGTAGAGAGTCAAGAAGGAAACATGGGCCTTAAGTGAAATACTAGACCAGATGGAGTTAATAGATATATATAGAACATCCCATCCAAAAGTAGCAGAATACACATTCTTCTCAAGTGCACATGGAACATTCTCAAAGACAGACCATATATTGGGAAATGAAACAAATCTCAGTAAATTTAAGCAGATTGAAATCATATCAAACATCTTTTCCAATCACAATGGTATGAAACTAGAAATCAACTACAAGAAGAAAGCTGGAAAAGTCACATATATGTGGAGACTAAACAACATGCTACTGAACAACTATTGGATCAATGAAGAAATCAGAGGAGAAATAAAAAATACCTGGAGACAAATGAAAATGAAAACACAACATACCAAAACTTATGGGATGCAGCAAAAGCGGTACAGAGAGGGAAGTTTATAGCAATACAGGCTTCACCTCAAGAAACAAAAAAAAATCTCAAATAAATAATCTAACACTACACCTAAAGGAACTAGAAAAAGAAGAACAAACAAAACTCAAAGTCAGTAGAAAGAAGGAAATAATAAAAATCGGAGCAGAAATAAAAGAAATACAGACTAAAAAGACAATAGAATAGACCAATGAAACTAACAGCTGGTTCTTTTTTTTTTTTTTTTGGTGAGGAAGATTGGCCCTGAGCTAACATCTGTTGCCAATCTTCCTCTTTTTTTGGCTTGAGGAAAATTGGCCCTGGGCTAACATCTGTGCCAGTCTTCCTATATTTTGTTTTGTATGTTGGATGCTGTCACAGCATGGCTTGATGAGCAGTGTGTAGGTCCATGCCTGGGCTCTAAATTTGCAAACCACAGGCCGCCGAAGCAGACTGTGCAAACTTAACCACTATGCCACTGGGCCGGCCCCACTGGTTCTTTTAAAAGATAAACAAAATTGACAAGGCCTTAGCTGCTCACTAAGAAAAAAAGAAGGCTCAAATAAAATCAGAAATGAAAGAGGAGAAATTACAATAGATATCAGAGAAATACAAAGGATTATAAGAGAATACTAGGAAAAGCTATCTGCCAACAAATTGGATAACCTATAAGAAAATGGATAAATTCTTAGAATCATACAACCTCCCAAAACTGAATCAAAAAGAAATAGAGAATCTGAATAGACCAATCACAAGTAAAGAGATTGAAACAGTAATCAAAAACCTCCCCCAAAACAAAAGTCCAGGAACAGATGTCTTCTCTGATGAATTCTACCAGATATTCAAAGAAGATTTCACAGCTTTCCTTTTCAAACTCTTCCAAAAAACTGAAAAGAATATGACACTTCCTAACTCATTTTACTAGATCAACATTACCCCAATACCAAAACCAGGTATTGGTAAAAAAATTACAGGCCAATATCGCTGATAAACATAGATGCAAAAATCCTCAACAAAATATTAGCAAATTGAATACAATAATACATTAAAATGATCACACACCATGATCAAGTGGGATTTATTCCAGGGATGCAGGGATGGTTCAACATCTGCAAATCAATCAATGTGATACACCAGATTAACAAAATGCACAATAAAAAATCACCTGAGCATCTCAATAGATGCAGAGACAGCACTCGACAAGATACCACATCCATTTATGATAAAAACTCTCAATAAAATGGATATAGAAGGAAAGTACCTCAACATACTGAAGGCCATATGTGACAAACCCATAGCTAACATCATTCTCAATGGCGAAAAACTGAAAGCCATCCCTCTAAGAACAGGATCAAGACAAGGATGCCCACTCTCACCACTCTTGTTTAACATAGCATTGGAAGTTCTAGCCAGAGCAATTAGGCAAGAAAAAGAAATAAAAGTTATCCAGATTGGAAGGTCAGAAGTAAAATGGTCACTATTTGTGGATGATATGATTTTATATATAGAAAACCCTAAGAATTCACCAAAAACCTATTAGAAATAATTAATAAATACGGTAAAGTCGCAGGGTACAAAATCAACATACAAAAATCAGTTGCATTTCTATACACTAACAATGAACTAGCAGAAGGAGCAATTAAGAATACAATCCCATTTACAACTGCAACAAAAAGAATAAAATATCTATGAATAAATTTAACAAAGGAGGTGAAAGAGGTGTACACTAAACATTATAAGACATTATTGAAAAAAAATCAAAGAAAATACAAAGAAATGGAAAGATATTTTGTGCTCATGGATTGAAAGAATTAACATAGTTAAATGTCCATGTTACCTAAAACAATCCATAGATTCAATGCAATCCCTATCAGAATCCCAATGACATTTTTCCTGGAAATAGAACAAAGAATCCTAAAATTTATATAGAACAACAAAAGATCCCAAATAGCCAAAGCAATCCTGAGAAAAAAGAACAAAGCTGGAGGTATCACACTCCCTGATTTCAAAATATACTATAAAGCTATAGTAATCAAAACAGCATGGTACTGGCAGAAAAACAGACACACAGATCAATAGAACAGAATCGAGAGCCCAGAAATAAATTCACACATCTATGGACAATTAATTTTCTACATGGGAGCCAAGAACATATAATGGAGAAAGGAAAGTCTCTTCAGTAAATAGTGTTCGGAAAACTGGACAGCTACATGCAAAAGAATAAAAGTAGACCACTATCTCACACCATATACAAAAATTAACTCAAAATGGCTTAAAGACTTGAACGTAAGACCTGAAACCATAAAACTCCTAGAAGAAAATATAGGCAGTATGCTTTTTAACATCAGTCTTAGCAGTATCTTTTTGAATATGTCTCATCAGGCAAGGAAAACAAACAATAATATAAACAAATGGGACTACATCAAACTAAAAAGCTTCTGCATGGCAAAGGAAACCATCAACAAAGCGAGAAGACAACCTAACAATTGGAAGAAGATATTTGCAAATCACATATCTGATAAGGAGTTAATATCCAAAATATATAAAGAACACATACAACTCAACAACAAAAACCCAAACAACCCAATTAAAAAGTGGGCAAAGGATCTGAACAAACATTTTTCCAAAGAAGATATACAGATGGTCAACAGGCACATGAAAAGATGTTTAACATCACTAATTATTAGGGAAATGTAAATCAAAACTAGAGTGAGATATCACCTCAGAGCCGTCAGAATGGCTATAATTAAAAAGACAAGAAATAAGCATTGGAGAGGATGTGGAGAAAAGAGAACTCTCACATACTGCTGGTGGGAATGTCAATTGGTGCAGCCACAATGGAGATTCCTCAAAAAATTAATAGAACTACCATATGATCCAGCTACTCCACTTCTGGGTATTTAGCCAAAGTACACAAAAACACCAATTTGAAAAGATATTTGCACCCCTATGTTCATTGCAGCATTATTCACAATAGCCAAGACTTCGAAACAACCTAAGTGCCCATCAATATCAATGATAAAGAAGATATAGTATATATATATA